AAATTACTTTACTGGAAGAGTGGTGAAACATTGGAACAGGCTGCCCAGGGGAGTGGTTGAGTCCCCGTCCCTGGAGGTATTTAAAAGACGTGTAGATGAGGCGCTTAGGGACATGGTTTAGTGGACACGGTGGTGTTGGGTTGATGGTTGGACTCGATGATCTTAGACGTCTTTTCCAACCTTAATGATTCTATGATTCTATGATTCTATATACATGTGGGGTGACCAAGAACAGACACAAAACTCCAAGATGTGGAGGCCTACCTCTGATGTTTAGCATCAGAAGCTGTCATTCACCCAGCAACACCAGAATATGACTTCTGGGGATCCCTCTGAGTGTACGGGATTGCCCCTATCACCCGCTGGGGTCTAACCCTCCCCAGCTCCTACTCTTAACTGGTATATGACTAGCTCAACATGGACTAGTCCTTAGTTGCTTCACTTGGCAGCTCAGATGGTTGCGGAGGAGGACAGGGCATTCAAGGCTGTGCTGTTTGCTCTGCTACCTTTGTGAAAGTACAAGCAGTCCTGCTACAGCTACTCAGGCCTGGCTGAATTCCTGCTGTCCCTGAGGGGCAGATCTCAAGCCTGGACCAAGTCCCAACTGGCTTTGTTAGAAAGCAAACTGGTTCATTGAAGAGTGTGAACAAACAGGCTGGCAGCACGGATGATCTCGGCTTGAGTGCAAACTCAAACCTATGTCTGCCAGGGATTCCATTCATCATTGTCTTCTAGGGTCTGTATTGACACCGAGGTCAAGAATTGCGGTATCGCAGACTCAGAGGCCTAGGAGACAGGCCCACCTCATTTCTAGGCAGAAACCCCAGTGTGACAGATCATGCCCTTCATATATTTCAGGCCACATTACCAGACCACCGCATGCAGGACTGATACAACTAATGCCTGGAAACAGATGGGTAACACTACACCACTGGTGACCACAGTGCCGTTTCTAAACCTTCTGACATTGTTTCTAAACAAACCCACTGCTCCAAGACACCCACACCATGGAGTATACAAACTTTCTGCCCTTTTCTTGGTCTACATGCAAATACAAAACAATAGTGAGTTTTTCAGGTCCCATCCCACTCATTACTGTTTGCTCGCTCTGTGTCACCAAATTATTCTTGCCAATGCATGAGGCAACATTGCATAGGCTAACCAAGAAAGTGAAGGAAAAGCACTTCCATGCTAACAATGGATACGGAGCAGAAGTGTGTTGGACTATCTTCTTCTGGCTTAGTTTCCTTACTCACTTAGTTTTGCACCATAGAGGTACTACAAGTTAAATCACTACACAACAATTTCCATGAAATAGGACATTAAAGTCACTTAAGGAGAAACACTCCTTCCTTAAATGCTATGTCTTGTAGTTCACTTCATGATGACATGTAGGTGTTAAAAACTGAAAACTTAAGCAAACACAGACTTCTAATTCAGGGGAAAGAAATCAATACAGCTCTACTGGGACAGCCCTTTGGAATTCAAAACGCTCTCCGATGCACTAATTCAGCAAGCACCGTCTCGGCAGACCAAAGCTTGGGATATTTTCACAGCATGTTTATTACTTTTTCAAACAGAATTCTCCAACTGGTTTTGAGTATATTCTGGCGTAAACTTTTGCAACGTAAAGACAGCCTGCAGAGTTGCACGAGCAATTATCTGAACCCTTTGTAGCCAGCAGCCCCCATACTTGGAACCACGCATTTATTAATGTTTCCTCCAAAATGCTACAACAACCAATTTCCTTGCCACCACCTTCCCATCACATGCCAAGGAGGTAAAAACACAAATTGATCCCATGAGCTCTGACCTCAGCAAGGCTGGAACGAATCTGTAAGCAGAATGATTAAATGAAACAAAACGTTAACACTTCTGCTCACACTTTTACCAGGCAAAATACAAAGTGGGTAACCGTGCCCATATCATCTCTTTTCCCCTAGCACCCCAAAAATCTGAGAGAAGGATGGGGAAACAGGCAGTCTGCGTTAGGCTCAAGGGTCGAGGATAGCAGGTGAGCAGCTCTCCAGAAGCTTACGCTTCTGTAAGCATGGGCCTGAATGCAACAATCTGTGTGCAGCACCCACACGTCCAGCGTGAAAAATGTCAGGCTTCAGCTACAGTACAAAGAGAAAAAAAGCCAAACCCAACCCAATCCGTGGGCCGTACGGAAACGCCTGTAACGGAGCGCGCTCAAACGGGCACGGGAAGCCAGCTGTCTGAGGGACGACGTACTCGCCGTGACCCCATCGCCAGCGGGCAGCCCTGTGCGGGCAGCCCTGTCCCGGCTGCCC